ACTCGTAGGTAGATTTGAGAGGCAGGTTCCACATTTCACATTTCATTCATTCATCCACATTATGCACAATAAACACGTATAAAAACACAGTTACAAAATAAAGTGTTACAGAGCTCCAGTGCAGAAAAACACAATAAATATTAAATATGCAGCACGACTGCTGACAAGGACCAGGAAGCGAGAGCACATCACCCCAGTACTGAAGTCTCTGCACTGGCTCCTGTGAGCTTCAGAATAGATTTTAAAGTTCTTTTATTAGTTTATAAAGCTCTTAATGGTCTTAGTCTTATTTATTTATCTGATCTGCTTTTATCATATGAGCCTCTCGGACTCTCAGATCCTCAGGTAGTCGTCTTTTAACTGTCCCAAGAGTCCAGACTAAAACTCACAGTGAGGCGTCATTCAGCTTTTACGGCCCAGTCGACCTGAGGATCTGAGGTCCACTGCGAGTGTTCATATTTTTAAAAGTAAACTCAAAACGTATCTTTTTAATTTAGCTTTTAATTGAAACTTTTATCTGTTTTAACTTAAATTATTATTATTATTATTATTATTATTATTATTATTATTATTATTATATTATTTATTCTAAATTAAATTATCATTACTGTTTTACTTTGTCTCCATTTAGATTTTTATGATAATCTTTAGGAGTTTTATGTTTTTGTTGTTATGTTTGTGTTTAAATGGTTGTATATATGGATGAAACAAAGGGATGGGGTGGGGGGAGTTGCTCTTGATTTTAATTATTGTATTGTAATTTTTCTGTTGCATGTGAAGCACTTTGTGCTACATTTCAAATGTATGAAAAGTGCTATACAAATAAAGTTTGATTGATTGATTGATTGAGCCGCCGGAACAAAGCTCCTTTTAAAACGATTCATTCTAGATCTTTAAAAGCACATGGACTAGTGGACGCCAAAGTCCTGCACTGGGTCGGGTACGGGCAAATAGTTGCTGAAACGAGCGGGTTTTAACGTTATGGATTTTTACAGGCGGGTATGCGGACGGGTAGTGATTACACACGGGCGGGTCAGGACTAAACCAGGTCTAAACCAGGTATAAACCGGGTCTAAACCAGGTCTAAACCAGGACTAAACTAGTACTAAACCAGGACTAATCTTGGACTTAAGAGAGAGAGAACCCCGAGCCCATGGAGCAGGGTGTCCGCAAAGCTTGATCGGGCCACGGCGGCACTTTACCTCCATGGGGCATGGAGCTCTGCACTGGTCCTTTCGCCTGCAAGCCCATCCCGACAGTGAGTCCTGGTTCAGTTCAGGTTTAGTCCTGGGTTAGTCTTGTTTTAGTCCTGATTTGGTCTTAGTTCAGTCCTGTTTTAGTCCTGTTTCAGTCCTGGGTTAGTCCTGTTTTAGTCTTAGTTCAGTCCTGTTTAAGTCCTGTTTTAGTCCTGTTTCAGTCCTGGGTTAGTCCTGTTTTAGTCTTAGTTCAGTCCTGTTTTAGTCCTGTTTTAGTCCTGGTTCAGTGCTGGAATCAGTCCTGGATTAGTCCTGGGTTAGTCCTGGATTAGTCCTGCTTTAATCCTGGATTTTGTCCTGTTTTAGTCTTAGTTCAGTCCTGTTTTAGGCCTGCTTGAGTCCTGGTTTTGTCCTAGTTCAGTCCTGGTTTAGTCCTCCTGGTTCAGGCCTAGAATCAGTCCTGGAATCAGTCCTGGAATCAGTCCTGGATTAGTCCTGGGTTAGTCCTGGTTTAATCCTGGTTCAGTCCGTGTTGTGTGCGGCGCAAAAGTCCGGCATCTCGATCAATGTTTCTTCTGCTCAGTAAATAAATCCTGTAAAGTGATGATGTATTTTTGACAGTCGAGTCACGTCTTTGAATTCTTATTCATCCTGAAAAAAGCGAAACCGTTTCATTTCATTTCGTGATTATAATTCTTGACGCCGTAACTTTTCAATTCATATTCTGATGGATACTTCAGTTAGAATACTTTTAATTTGTGCGTTATTCATTACGTGCACGGGCGGGTAACGGATGAAATACTAACGGATCCGGCGGGTGCGGGTCTCCAAAAACGGACCCGTGCAGGACTCTGGTACACGTCCGTGGAACCTACCTGGAAAACTGAGGGATAACGCAGATATAAGACCACATGGGAATAGAAAAGAAAATACTATAATTTAATGTTTAGAGTGTAGAGAATTGTCTAAAAAGAATCTGTCTGTTCAAAATCATGAATAGCAAACACCCCAACATGTCTCCGTCTGATTTTTTAATATTATTAAATGTTAGAACCTGAACCTGATGTCCCTGTCCGCGTCCTCTGACCTCCGGCTCGATAATCTCGTAAAATTGTAAAAGTGAGTCATAATAACGCCCCCGGAACAGTGACTCGTCTGTTTGTGTGTCTATGAGGACAACGTGGCCCCGAGCGAAGTGTCATCTGTGGTCAGTCACGTTACCGCGGCAACAGCAGCGAAGGGACACGCTGGAGTTTTGACATTGTGGAAGATGTTTGTTTTGCTTTTTCCATGGGAGTGAGAGCCGGTCGCTGTCGGCCCCCGTCAAACGCAAACCTACAAAAAAAACTATGTCAATCATTTGTGCTGTTTTGTTGATTACATTATGTCATTTCCGGACAAATATTAAATAAGTCAAGTAAATAATAACTTTAAAAATAGTAACGCAAAAAGTAAAATATTAATGACACACAACAGCATAAACAAAACAGGAAAAATTTATGTGCCGCATTTTTTGGACTATAAATCGCACTTATTTTCATGGTTTGGGGGTTTCCTGCGACTTATATTTTAAAATGTTTAGACTGAAGTGTGGAGAGGTTCTAGTCTTGTGTGTGAGTATCTGCTGCTCCTGTTCCTCCTGCACCACTGTCACTTGGCTCTACTGCGCATGTCTCCTGCAGAAAGAGCCTCTGTCCTGTCTGTATCATGTCAGTCGATCGCACCGTTACTTCTGCACCACTGAACAATTTAACATTTAAACAAACTTACAAAGACAAAGACTGAGAAGACGGAACACAAATGCCCCCCCCCCAAAAAAAAATCAGATTTTACAGATTACAAACTGCAAGTCGTGAAATCTGCAGCTGAAAACAGTAATCGAGCAGCAGAAAGAAAGTTTGGAGTGAACGAGAAACACATAGAACTGGACCGTTATCTGATTTCTGGAGTTATCTGATTATAGAAAAGGATCCCTGCTCATGACATACAGTAGTTTCAAAAATCATGTGGTTGCTTATGGACATTGATCAAAAAACTTAACAAATATTTACATACAGCAAAATAAATGACACACTATGCACACTACATATAATTTTTACCCATTTTCTTCATTTTTTTTTGTATTGTACTGTATTATATTTTACAGCTATTATTTTATTTATTTTAATTTAATTAATTATTTATCTATTTATTTTTGTCACTCAACTCTTATACCACAAATGCAAAAATTTTAATGCCTAACTTTGTGCACTAATGACTGGATGATAATAGTTTATGTTTTATACACGTCTGACTGTACCTCATCTGAGCCTCGTCGTGTATTTTTTGGGCTATAAGTCGCACTTTTTTTCATGGTTTGGGTGTTTCCTGTGACTTTTACTCCGGTGCGACTTATATATTAACATTTTCACAGTGAAGCGGTGAGAGGTTCTAGTCTTGTGTGTGAGTATCTGCTGCTCCTGTTCCTCCTGTACCACTGTCACTTGGCTCTACTGCGCATGTCTCCTGCAGAAAGAGCCTCTGTCCCGTCTGTATCATGTCAGTCGATCGCACCAAACTTATAAAGACGACTGAGAAGACTGAACACAAATGTCCCCAAAAAGAAAATCTGATTCTGCAGATTACAAACTGCAAGTCGTGAAATCTGCAGCTAAAAATGATAATCGAGCAGCAGAAAGAAAGTTTGGAGTGAGAGAGAAACTTGTGACACCATGAAACTTTCCTGAAGTCACTGGATGGATGGACAAAGCCTGGACTTCAGTGACACCGAAACCATCCTGTCGGGATTCAGAAAGACACGAATAATTCTAACTGGAACTGATGCTGAGTCTGACGACAGCGACACAGAAGAGGAAGCGGCGCTCTGTTTACCTCCGGAGGTCGTGGAGTTGCTCAGAAGTGACACCGAGGATGAAGAATTGAATGGATTTAGTGATTTGGAGTGAGATGGAGAGTTTGTTAAACTTGTTCTGTTCTGTTATGTGACGTTAACAGTCTGTTGTTCTCTCTTCTATTGTTTTTACTAGAACTTGACTTTCAAGATCAAATCAATTTCTTATAGTTCAGTGTGATTTATATATGTTTTTTTATTCTTCATTATGCATTTTTTTGGCTGGTGCGACTTATACTCCAGAGCTACTTATAGTCTGAAAAATACGGTAATAGTTGGCAATTTTTTAGCACATTTTAACGTTTTCAAGGAGGTGCGGGGACGTCATCGGCTGCAAATAGCTAAGAGCTCAGAACCAGTATAACTAAAATCTAAAAAAAACACAAACGAAACTTTTTGCAGCACAAAACAGCATAAACGAGTAACACAGTTTTAGGCCATTTTACAACATTTTTAAGCTTCCTGTAGGGCTGACTGACCTCGATGTGACTAATAAAAACTTGTTAATATCTCAAAAACTAAAGCAGCACAAACAAAACTTTTTGAAGCACAAAACAGTCGTAACAAAGCACAAACGACTGACAGTTTTTGTGTAGGTTTGTGTTTGATGGGGGGAACAACTTTAGGACATCATAGTAATAAAATGTAATGATTTGGACTGATTATTCATCACTTTTCATGCAGTAACTCACAGATCAGCGCCATCTACCTTTCAGATCACATTCACCACATCCACGCGGGTCAAATGGCTGATGTGTCTTGCTCAAGGGCAACACTATACACTGTTCTTGCTGTTATAACATGACCACAAACTCCACTGTGGTCGGTTTTGGAGTTGGGACACGTCAACTTAAAATGTCTGTACTCGATTTTATTAATTTGTTTTCTAATGAAGTTCTTGTGTCTGTGTGCAGGTCCTGTGCATGATCACGGCTCCCGTCACCATGATCCTGTCGTCTCAGCAGGACGCCTCCTTCGCCTTCGCCTCCCTCGCCATCGTCTTCTCCGTCTACATCACTCTGGTGGTGCTCTTCGTTCCCAAGGTAAAAAAAAAAAAAAACTCAACAAACTAACTAAGGCTACGTTCAGACTGCAGCCTGAAGTGACCCAAATCCAATTTTTTGGCCCCTATGTTCCTGTATCTGATCTTTTAATGACAGTCTGAACGACACAGATCCGAATTTTTCAAATGTGACCCAGGACACTTGGATATGTGCTCCTGAAACCGATACATATCTGATCTTTTGACATGCGACTTCAGTCTGAACGGCCAAAGCGCATTCATCCACCTACACGTTATCAACAAGACACAAACGTCACTATTCTGCGCTGAAGTAGGCGAAAATTGTTAATGAACTCTGTGTCACTGAAGTGAAGCACATCTCCACTCACCACTCTTGGCTCCGTCTCCACATCCACACGTTCCTTTCAACGGACGTCGCTGCCGCTGTCCCACAAAACACCACGACCAAAAACCTCATCCTTCTCCTTCTCAATCTCCTCCTTAAAACAAGTAAGTTGTTCATGTTCTGGCTCCGGTACGAGAGGAACTTTAAAATCTCCAGGTGCTCGATGCTGCGTCCATGTTTGGACAACTTCTGTAAACACAGAGACGCTCGCTGCGGTTGACGTCGTCGTGTCTCCAGTGTCACATGTGGGACACTTTCGGGCCGTTTAATGTTCACACTGGAGTCACATACAAGTCACATTTAACTGGAAATGTGAATATCATATTTCACACAAAAAATCGGAATTGACGTAATGTTAGAAGGCCCAATTTGAACCCTCCTTACTTTGCACCTCATATCATTAACATTCTCTTGGGGTGTGACACTAACTGAAAGCACTACTCTGTCTGAAGCTCTGTTACTGAGGTTAGATTGACTGAGCTTGATTTTTATGTATTTATTTATCTATTAAAAACAAGGACAATGCACAGAAAACATTAAACTCAGAGAGAAAAGACGCTCTGTGCCACATTTAACTACAAGCTCTTCTCCATCTCATTGGGAAGGACAAATCACATTAACAAAACTATTTACACAACAATAATTCATCATTAACAGTGTCTCCTTAAAATAACCACCATCCAGTTCATCATTAAAACTATCAAAATTAATTAGTTCTACCATAATTTCCATAAATACAAGATTTCAAATTCATCATTAGCTATCGTCATTATCCTCTAAAATACAATTCATCAACAACAACGTGACCGTCAAGACAAATGTCATTAGTCAAACACATTTACACAACACAATACATCCGTATGACAATTTATTATAACACAATCTGAACAGAAAAGTACTGAACTAAAGCCGTGCGTGATTTTTGGCCGTTTTTGAGTCGATTTTTCACTCGTTCGACTCTTTGGGATGAGTTTTCGCTTAATCGTGTGTCGTGCTTCGTGTAGTAAACAGGGTTCCCACGGTCATGGAAGTCCTGGAAAAGTCATGTGAATTAAAAATGTCATATTCGAGGCTTGGAAAAGTCATGGAATTTTTTCAATTCAATGAAAGTTTTGGAAAAGTCATGGAATTTAGTATCTCTTTCGCGCAACTACATCATTTTGTTAAGTTCTCATTAGACTATTATGATTATTTTTGAACGTCTGCGTCTTTTGTTTAAAAGAGACAATAAATGCACTGACAGGGTTTTGAATGTTAAAAAACTATAATCCCAAACCATAAGGTGAGTGGAAAGTGTTAACATTTCATATTTCGCCCTAAATGTTGGATCAATTTTATACATGTAGGTGCCAGAAAGTCACGGAAAATTCACTTTAGGTCATGAAAAAGTCAGTGAAAAAGAGTTTTCACATTATGTGTGCTTGTGTCACCATGGTAACTTCTGGACATTCTGCCATAGACATACATGTAGAAAGTACCAATAGAACATAGCAGCAACTGTAAAATAAGCAATAATGAATGCCCCAGGAGTCACTTTTGGAGTTTCTTTGTCATTAAACAAAATCGTAGACACTGAGTGCGTTTACATGCACATCAGTGTCCCGGTAATGATCGGATTTTTTGAGCATCCCGGTTTCTTCATGGTGCATGTAAAAGCAGTATCCCGGTTATGGCAGTATCCCGGTTATTAGAAACTGGGATACTGTAGCTGGTTTATTCCGATAGTAACCCGGACACTGTGGCATGTAAACGCAGTATCCCGGTTACTGCAACATAAATTTGAGTGCGCATGCGTCCAAAAGACAAACACTTTTCAGTCTTTTCACCGCAACAACAGCGACATAAATAAAGTGACCGTACATGAGTGAAATGACTGCGTTAACCTGCACAGGAATCTGCACTCGTACGACCTGCACACGTCTGATCGCTGAAAAGTTAAACATGAAACATTTCCTGTACGATAGAAACACAGAACAGACTCACCATCATCAGCACCTCCTCTGTCACAGAAAAACACTCATATTCCACTGAGTCGTATCATTTAGTCCGACAGAAGCTGAACCGCATCAGCGCACAAGGAGCGAGCTGATTTTATCGCCACTAACAGTTTATGCAAATTAGTCTTAGTTTCAGTAAAACGTAAACAAATGTGACAAAGCTGAATTATATTATCAAACGGGCTGATGTGGTTATGGTTCATATGTTATAAAGATGAGTTTATTTATGCAAAATATTTTAATAAAAAATCTACACGTTGGGTTTGATCTGTGCAGTGGATCTTGGGATACATCATAGCTCCTCACGCTGGTTAGAACCTCCCGAGCTTCCTCTTTGTATTTTTCCTGGTTTATTAACTTAAATTAGGTTAATTTTTGCACTTGTGCATTTGTAAGATTATGTCAAGAAACCTACATTTGATCATGTGTATACAAATATGAGTATCTCGGTTTCTCAGAGCGCATGTAAACACAGTATCCAGAATACTGACATAACCTGGATATGGATAATAACCGGGATACGGATGTGCATGTATAGCAGAGGTGTCGAACTCATTTTGGTCCGGGGGCCGTATCCAACCTACTTTGATCCCAAAGGGGCCAGATCTGAAAACTCATGGCATATAAACCCCAAAAATAACAATCAGTTCAAATATTTGTGCAGAGAAACACAAATCTATTACAGAAATCTTTTTTAATTGATGAACTCTTTCTTTTACTAAATATTATAATATTATGAACAACCTGAAACTTTAAGAAAAATACAATTTCAACACAATGTTTTAACATGAACTTGTATGTAAACAGGAATAAGTCGATTTTTCTTGGAAAATCCTGCACTCGGCTCCACTTTTCTCATGTTGGACATTTTTCTGATGAGGGTGTCACGGTCAACAGTCAAAACGATCGTCCTTTAAGAGCGTTTGGAAAGAGACAAGTCTTCATTTGTGCTGCTCTGGTGGGAGGGGCCACGTACAGAGACACTGGAGACGCTGCTGTGATAAACACCACAGAAAATTACCAATATTTTAATAGAAAATATAATTACAATATTTTAGTAGAAAATCAGCTGAGGGCCAGATTAAAGGTCTTGGAGGGCCGGATCTGGCCCCCGGGCCGTATGTTTGACACCTGTGATGTATAGGCACTCAATGATTTATCTTAAAACTAATTCAAGATGATTCCAAACAGCACATACGTCTGCAGTCTTCATTTTACCGCTGATCACATTTACTTCAGTGGGTTAGAGTCCAGTGTCGGGAAATACACTGGAAGTCGTCTCTTGTTTCTAAACGTCTTCCTGGTTTGTGACGTAAACGTGAATAGAGCCTATAAACCACAACAATCTCTCCTTCTCTGTTGTTTACCTCCAGTAGCTGACGACTCTTTGTGTGGTTCTTTGGTGACATCTGCTGGTGAGAATCCAAACTGCGACTCCACGCTGAACATTACAGTCGTGTTCAAATGGAAAAGCGTCATGTTTGCTCGTTACGTGTGCGGTGCCGCTCGTGTAACTGTCACCGCACTAATGCACGGGCACCACGGGGCCACGCGCTCGTTTATTGGCAGTGATCAGAGAGGCCAAGACGTCCATGAATAAAACATGACCTGCGTTCGACGGAGAGAGAAGTGTACACAAAACTACGGATTAAACCAAGTAATAACAAAGAGAAGATGGTTTGAGTTTAGAATTCACAGTTAAAAACACTTCTGAAATCTGATTTTAGATTGATTCAGACAAACTTTATTGATCCACAAGGGAAATTATTGGACACAGCAGCTCACACATCACCAAAATATTAATAATAATAATAACAAAGAGCAAAAATACATAAATGGTGATAATAAATTCAAAATAAGTAGCAAAAGTAGCAAGAGACTGGTGTCAAATAATGTAAAATAAAAAATATAGAAACATAGTAATATAAATTTATCTCCTCATACAAGAAAAAATATTTTATAGAAGTAGGGCTGCTCCATTATGAAAAAAAATTAAATAAAAATGTTTATCACGATTATTTTGACCAAAATTGAAATCACGATTAATCAGTTATTTTATTTATTATTTATTTATTTATGTTTTATTTATTTTTTTAGTTACACGATGCATTTATTCAGTATTTCTCTCTCAAAAAAAAAAAAAAAAAAAAAACTTATTATTGTTATTGATAATTTACGCAAAACTATCAAATGGGAAACAAATATAGGCTACAAATATGAACCTTAGAGCAGTTTTGCGATATTATAAAATATAAAATGAATAAAATATAAATCGAACATGAAATTAGGCAGAAAAACATAAATGTATCCAAAATAAACTATATATCCAGCCGTTCTACCATCTTTATATGAAAAATTTAATAAATATAGTTATTTATATAAAAAATATCCCAAAATAAACTTTGTTAAGCTTTAAATCATCATGATCAAAATTCAGTTAATTTCAGAGCCTTATATAGAAGTAAAATTTATTAAAGTAAAATAAATAAATCACTTTCGAAATCAGCTAAAAATAAATAAATTAATTAATTAATTAATTAATAAACAGAATACAAACTTGACCAAATCAGATAAAGTACAGAGACAGACTGAACTAACCCAACATGAACACTAGAGGGAGACATTGCACAAAAACTAATTTTGTGTAAAAGCTACAATTGTGTTGATATTTTTACTGTTCTGATGAGTAAAATTTGTGTTATTTATATTAACTTTGCACAGACTCGGTGGACTTAGTCGACTTTTAGTATCACAGCCATGATTAAGCCGATGTTTTTCACCGAACCGTATTAAATCGATTTGAAATATATTGTATTGAATCGAAAGTGCACTATATCGAAAAACTTAGTAGAATATAGGACCTTTAAGATGGCCTAATGGTGGCACCTGCTTGTCTCAGTGGAAATAAAATTTAAAAAAGTTGAATGCCATACTGTGGAACATTCAAGTGAAGCAATAACAACTCAACAAGGGAATAAGCAGGTCCATATTCCACATTTAACGATTTAACGACTAAGAAAACAGCTGATGTTAAGGTCTCGAAGGTGGTGTAGTGAGTTCTTCCTTTGCATTTTCACCAGTTTGCGTATGTTGTTCTACAGATGCGTCGCCTGATCACCAGAGGAGAGTGGCAGTCCGACGCCCAGGAGACCATGAAGACCGGCTCCTCCACCAACAACAACGATGAGGAGAAGTCCAGGCAGCTGGAGAGGGAGAACAAGGAGCTCCAGAAGATCATCCAGGAGGTCTCATAACATCTCACATACTGTATCTGTCGGACTATAAATCACACCGGAGTATAAGTCACACGAGCCAAAAAATACGTAATGAAGAAGAAAAAAACATATATAAGTCGCAATTTTTGGGGGAAATTTATTATATTAAATTAGAGACCAGAACAAAGTAAAAACAATAGAATAGAGAACAACAGACTGTTAACGTCACATATGAACAGTTCTTCAGATAAACTATGACATAAACAACAGAACAGAACAAGTTTATCAAACTCTCCATCTCACTCCAAATCACTAAATCCATTCAATTCTTCATCATGTGTCACTTCGGAGCAACTCCACGACCTCCGGAGGTAAACAGAGCGCCGCTTCCTCTTCTGTGTCGCTGTCGTCAGACTCAGCATCAGTTCCAGTTAGTCCAGGCTTTGTCGATCTTTTTTGTTGATCTTTTTTGTCGGAGTTTTTTGTTTGCTCTGAATTCTAAATAATCGGTATTGTCATGAAGCATAATTTTGTTTTTTACACTTTGATATGGGGTTGGGGGCACCACTGAACATGACATCGGCCCTCAACACATTGTCTTGTCACAGCCGTGTTCATGCATCCTGTGAGTGTTAATTTTTGTGTACATGTATTCATATGATTTCTGTGTATTCGTGTTACTTTATGTTCATGTTACCTCATTGTTTTGTTCCTATGTTTACATTGTTTTACACGCTGTTTCTCTTGTGTTTCAGAGTTTCAAATCATCATTTCACCTGAACATTGTCCATTAAACCACTCACCTGACTCCCGCCTCCTGCCCATCATTAAAATCACCTTTTTTCGACATTAAATCATATGACGGAGTATAAGGGTTAGATAAAAAAAATAAATAAATGCTGGCACTACAAGAATAAAGTCGTAACATTTTGACATTAAAGTCGTAATATTATGAGAATAAAGTCGAAGCCAGAAAAAGTCGTAATTTTAAGAGAATAAAGTCGTAAACTTACAAGAATAAAGTAGTAATTTTATGAGAATAAAGTCGTAGTCAAAATAAAGTCATAATATTATGAGAATATCGGCGGCTCGGAAAGTCTGAACGAGTGGAGAATGGAGAATTTGGAGCATTTTGTAAAGGAGAAAAATCTGTGTATCATTCGTTCATTCGACTGAACAAGAACTGAATCAGGACTAAATCAAGTCTGGAACCAAACCAGAAAGACCAGGATTGAGACCGGGACCAGACCAGGACTGAAAACGGTTTAGTCCTAGTTTAGTCCTGGTTTAAGTCACGGAAACGGGAAATGGCGTTTACGTGACTTTAAAATGCGATGCGGACTAATTGCGCCTCATACGGACTGAAACCAGGACTGAACCAGGACTAAACCAGGACTGAACCAGGACTAAACCAGGACTGAACCAGGACTAAACCAGGACTGAACCAGGACTAAACCGTTTTCAGTTCTTGTTTAAGTCCTGGTCTCAGTCCCGGTCTGGTCTCGACCTCGTTTTAGTCCTGGTTTAGTCCTGGTTTAGTCCTGGTTTAGTCCTGGTTCAGTCCTGGTTTAGTCCTGGTTCAGTCCGGAGGCACAAATAATGAAGAAAATTGTTGTTCGTTTTCTTATTTTTGGTTTTATATTGAAAAACAAGTTTCTTCTTCTGCCGCATTTTTCACTTTGACTTTGATTTTATTACGACTTCATTCTCGTAATATTATAACTTTATTCTCATAATATTACGACTTTATTTTAACTTCGACTTTATTCTCATAATATTACGACTTTAATGTCAAAATGTTACGACTTAATTCTCGTAGCGCCAGCATTTTTTTTTTTTTTAATCTGACCCTTATACTCCGTCGTAAAATCACATTACTATAATGGTCACAAATCTGTTACGTCTCACTCAAAACTCAAAACTGACTCATGTGACCTCCGACATCATAATATTGTAAAACTTAAAGTGAGTGCAGTATTTTCCGCACTATTAGACGCGCTCTTAAGCCTCCAACCCCGTCAAACAACGGCCGCGCCACAATCCAGAGCGCCCCATACACGAATCCACTCGGGTGTCCCAGTACGACTTCAGTAAACTACAAAGCCGCACCACCCACAGAACACACAAACACACACGGACAGCGTTGGGGAAGGTGACTTTTAAAATGTATTCTCCTACAGATTACAGATTACAGACCCCAAAATGTAGTTTGTAACGTAATCCATTAAATTACTTAAAGTGAGTAATGTAATCTGAATACTTTGGATTACTTGATTTGCTGTAGAGAAGCAAAGACGAGGAAATCTTCACATAAGAAGTTTTGTCTGATAAAAGAAAATAAAAAGTCCAGACTTTACTGAACCAAATTAAAAATATTATTGATAGAAAAAGAGGAGACACGTCCACACAGCAGGATTTAGTCCTGTTAAATCCTGTTTTAGTCCTGGTTTAGACCTGGTTTAAACCTGGTTTAGTTCTGGTTTAGTCCTGTTTTAGCCCAAAATGTGAAAACAGGAAAATACCGCCGTGTAATCCATTTATTTCAACAAAGTAACTGTAATCCAATTACCACTCACTGAAACAGTAACTGTAACTGAATACAGTTACTCATCATTTGTACTCTGATTACATAACTCCAGTACATGTAATCTGTTACTCCCCAACACTGCACACGGAGCAGACAGCGACTGCACAGAGAAACACACCCACAGACACACTCATCACTCCACGCCGACGAGGAACGGAACGGAGGAACGAACCAAAAAAGCGAGTGCAATGTGCCACTTCTAGACACGACTGAACAACTGAGTCACTGCGAACACGCCGACAATCCGTTGGTCCCAGACAGCACCTCCCTACACGCCACAACTGAACAAAGCCCAGAGTCACCGTGAACGAACAAACAAACAAAAAACCACTCACCCATCACACTGTTGGGTTTTGTTTAAAGTCCAGTGCGGTTTATTTGTGGAAAAAGTTCGAAAACAGACCATTTAATTGACAGTGCGTCTTATAATCCAGAGCACCTAATAGTGCGGAAAATACGGTAAAAATAACGACTCAGAACAGTGAATGATCTATCTCACGTCACCACGGCAACCAAACATGACAATAAAGACGTCGTGGATTGCTCGGTTTCAGATGGCGTCACACCGACATCAACAAAAGCACCAAATGTGGGTCAGGAGGTAAAAACAGACGCACAGGACCCCGTTTACCTCGGCTGACTCAGCGCCAAAATGTGTCATTTCTGTGCAGTTTGTGGTCGCTGCAAACGCTCTGATCGGGAGAAAGACAAACTTTTTTTTTTTTCATTTACCGTAAGCGGTGTGTCACAAGGGAGTTAGATTTAAAACAATTTACAGAAAAAAGTGGATCGACAATCTCCGGCTAAAAACAGGAGGCACAGAAACCACAACCAGCAACCACTTTGTAACAGATAAGGATTGTGTCATTTATTTATAGTTTAGTTTAGTTTTTAGTTTTTTTGGACAATCATTAAGAAAGACAAACACCAACATTATCTTAAAGTTGTAATTTTGTGTTTTTTTTTAACTTTTTCTAATCATTATTTTAGATTATCAAAGTGCAGCGGGTGATTTTAATTCTAAATACTTGTACGCTTCCAGGATTTTAAAGGTTTTCCTTTGGCTCTCAGTGAAATACAAAGTCTACCAGGACAAAAACCAGGACTAAAATCAGGTTTAAACCAGGTCTAAACCAGAACTAAAGCAGGACTAATATCAGGTCTAAACCGTGTCTAAACCAGGACTAAACCGGACCTAAAATCAGGTTTAAACCAGGTCTAAACCAGGTCGACACCAGCGCTAAACCAGGACTAAACCAGGACTAAAACAGGACTAAACCAGGACTAAAGCAGGACTAAAATCAGGTCTAAACTGGGCCTAAACCAGGACTAAACCAGGACTAAAATCAGGCCTAAACTGGGTCTAAACCAGGTCTAAACCAGGACTAAACCAGGACTAAAGCAGGACTAAAATCAGGTCTATACCAGGTCTAAACCAGGTCTAAACCAGGACTAAACCAGGACTAAACCAGGACTAAAATCAGGTCTAAACCGGGTCGACACCAGGACTAAAACAGGACTAAACCAGGACTAAACCAGGACTAAACCAGGTCTAAACCAGGTCTAAACCAGGACTAAAGCAGGACTAAAGCAGGACTAAAGCAGGACTCAAATCAGGTCTAAACTGGGCCTAAACCAGGACTAAACCAGGACTAAAATCAGGTCTAAACCGGGGCGATACCAGGACTAAAACAGGACTAAACCAGGTCTAAACCAGGTCTAAACCAGGACTAAACCAGGACTAAAACCAGGTCTAAACCAGGTCTAAATCAGGACTAAAATCAGGACTAAAACCAGGTTTTAACCAGGACTAAAACCAGAACTAAAATCAGGACTAAACCAGGTCTAAACCAGGTCTAAATCAGGACTAAAATCAGGACTAAAACCAGGACTAAACCAGGACTAAAACCAGGTCTAAACCAGGACTAAAACCAGGTCTAAACCAGGTCTAAACCTGGACTAAACCAGGACTAAACCAGGACTAAAACCAGGCTAAACATTCTAACATTCACCCAATTTGAAAACCCCTTGACTAGACCCAAGATCACGCCGTTTTTCAACAACGTTTCAGTATGTTTACACACTTTACTGTCAGAATCTAATCTAATGGTGTTTGTTTTTGGTTCTGTGGCTGCAGAAAGAGGAGCGCGTGTCTGAGCTGAGGAACCAGCTGTCCGAGCGCCAGGCCCTGCGCTCCCGGAGACGAGCCTCCACCATCACCACCAACCAGAACCACAGCAGCACCCCGCCGCAGCCCATCAGCGACCCGCGCTCTCTGGCCCCGCCCCCCGGATACCCCGCCCCCACGCTCGACCCCGCCCTCAGCACGTCGCCGCCCACCTTCTCCAACTCCAACCTGTACCAGGCCGACAGCAAGCTCAACCGCAACAACTGCCACACCAGCCGGCTGCAGATGCTCTACAAGTGAAGCGCGGGACCAAATCATGTGACCAAAAAACAGGAAGTGGACGTGTGCTGTGTGGAGGTTTTGAGGAAGTGACGCGGATTGGGCAGCGCGTAGTGTCGGAGGAGATGACATCAAGTGTGAACCTTTGTACTTGTACTGTAGACCAGGTCGCTCGACGGGAGGTCTGACACTGCGGTTTGTGGAGCTAAAATCTCCGAGAACTATGCTATTCTTAAAAAATAACTAACTTCTCAAAAAATCTGACCTTTAATAAGAAAAAAATCCCAAAAATCCAGCTTTTCAAGTGCGTAATTTTCCCAATATTTGAAAAATAATTGTCCTGGGAGTTTTATCAATATTGACGAATTTATTAGGAAAGATTAGTCGCAGTTCTAAATATTGAGCCGCACATAATTACTCAAACAAGCTTTCTTTTTTTGTCTTAAAGGGCCCATCTCATGCAAAACTTTTCAGAGCTTTCTACCTTCTAAGAGTGATGTGTGGGCCTTGTATATGTCGCTGAAGTGTTTTTTAGATTGATTCGGCGTTGTTTTTTAACAAATTGCAGCGTATTTCTGCCACCCTCCCACGTGACAACGAACTAAAGCTGCTACAACGATGACGCGGCAGATACACCTATGATGCGTTTGACGTAGCAGAAAGCGCTTCACACCCGCCCCACTCCCCCGCTCCACCGCCTCTGCCCCGCCTCCTCCAGTCTACATGATAAAATAAGATTATCTACTAGTGTTTATTAATACTTTACCAATCAGTAATGTTCAGCTGATGTGGACGCGGTGCTTGAGCTTTGAGCTCCTCAAAGTCCTCGTCCGAGTCCAAAACTTAAGGTTGAACTCGCTGTATCGCCATGATGAATAAAAGTTTATTCCTGTCACTATCAGACCGCTAAACGGATTATTTTAATAGATCCATGGTTGTGTGGCTGAGATGGGCGGAGGAAGGGCGAAACCTTACGTTTGGAGGGCGGAGCCTGTGCTTTCTCAGGACGCGCGGGGAGATGAGCAATATTCATAGGCTGTGTTCAGACTGCAGCCTGAAGTGACCCAAATCTGATTTTTTTGGCCCCTATGTTCCTGTATCTGATCTTTTAATGACAGTCTGAACGACACAGATCCGATTTTTTCAAATGTGACCCAGGACACTTGGATATGTGCTCCTGAAACTGATACATATCTGATCTTTTGACATGTGACTTCAGTGTGAACGGCCAAAGTGCATTCATCCACCTACACGTTATCAACAAGACACAAACGTCACTATTCTGCGCTGAAGTAGGCGAAAATTGTTAATGAACTCCATGTCACTCACTGAAGTGAAGCACATCACCACTCACCACTCTTGGCTCCGTCTCCACATCCACACGTTCCTTTCAACAGACGACGTCGCTGCCGCTGCCCCCACAAAACACCACGACCAAAAACCTCGTCCTTCTCAATCTCCTCCTTAAAACAAGTAAGTTGTTCATGTTCTGGCTCCGGTACGAGAGGAACTTTAAAATCTCCAGGTGCTCGATGCTGCGTCCATGTTTGGACAACTTCTGTAAACACAGAGACGCTCGCTGCGGTTGACGTCGTCGTGTCTCCAGTGTCACATGTGGGACACTTTTGGGCCGTTTAATGTTCACACTGGAGACACATACAAGTCACATTTAATTGGAAATGTGAACGACCTCACAAAAACATCGGATTTCACAAAAAAATCCGAATTGAGCGTTAAGCCCTGCAGTCTGAACGTAACCATATATTCGTAGTTTCTGGTCTGTGACGCCTCCAAGAAATACATAAGAATTTTCAGAACTATTGTGTAATGGATGTTCCAAAACCCAAATTGTGGTTGTTTATGTGCAGAAGATACAATGTGAAAAGAGTTATTTTGCATGAGATGGGCCCTTTAATATTTTTTATTAAAGGTGTACTGTGTAACTTGTTGGTTGGGGGGGCGATCGTTTGTTTGTTTCTACAGATCTGTCACTTCTCTGCCTGGAATGTTCCACAGTATGACATTAAACAGCTCTACTTCACGTTTATTACATTACACGGAGACGCTCCACCAAAAAGTTACACAAAGCACCTTTAAGTTTAAGTTTTACGAACTAAAATGAAGCAAACATTATGACAAACACCCACATGAATAAAGCAGACTTGGCAATGTCACGGTCTGTTAAAATACAACAACTTCAGCAGAACTCTTACTCCCTTATAAACGGCAAAAAGTCCATATGCAAACAAGCTTTCTTTTACATTTTTACTAACAATACTGAGCTTGGGAGCAGTGATTTAGTGGGTTATGCATTTACCTATTAACCAGTGGGTTGCCAGTACAATTCCCACCTGAGCTCACTGTCGTCGCACGAGTATCCTGGTTGTAACAGGTTTCTAACAACAAAAAAGCAAACATACATTCAAGTTAAAACATGAGATGGTGGAGTCACAGCTTCGATAAAAGGCATTTTTATCAGTTGAAAAATCCAACACAGTCACAGAGTCAGTTTACCGTATTTTCCGGGTTATTAGACGCGCTCTTAAACCTCCAACCCATCAAAAAAACGACTGCGCGCCACAATCCAGAGCGCCCCATACACGAATCCACTCAGGTGTCCCAGCACGACTTTAGTAAACTACAAAGCCACAAACACACATGGAGCAGACAGCGACCGCACAACGAAAAACACCCACAGACACACTCATCACTCCACGCCGACGAGGAACGGAGGAACGAACCGAAAAAGCGAGTGCAATGTGCCGCTTCTAGACACGACTGAACAACTGAGTCACTGCGAACACGCCGACAATCCGTTGGTCCCAGACACACCCTCCCTACACGCCACAACTGAACAAAGCCCAGAGTCACCGTGAACGAACAAACAAACAAAACCACTCACCCATCACACTGTTGTTTCCTTTAAAGTCCGGTGCGGTTTATTTGTGAAAAAAGTTCGAAAATAGACCATTTAATGACAGTGCGTCTTATAATCCAGAGAACCTAATAGTCCGGAAAATACGGTAGTTTAAAAGCAACACAGACAGACACTGGGGTTAAAATGTGGCTGTAATAAACAGTAGACTGCTTTATTTTGTTCATAAGTCTAAAATAGTCTTACTAAAAAGTCCTGGTAGGAGTTTGAGTCATTTTGGGAAAGTAACTGCTCCTACTGCTTTTAGTCGAGTTTGCACATGCTCAGTACAGCACCTACACTAACCTGCTGCGTCTACAGGCCACAGTATCCTGGACACTCTCAGAAAATCCCAGTGACAGTCTCCTGGTTTCTCATCACCGGGATACAGGCAGATCCAGGAGACTGAAATCAGGATACGGCGTCTACATGGACACTCGCAAAACCAGGATACTCAAAAACCCAATCATAACCAGGATACTCAAAAAACCCGATCGTAACCAGGATACTCAAAAAACCCTATCGTAACCGGGATACTCAAAAAACCCGATCATAACCAGGATACTCAAAAAACACCTGATCACAACCGGAATACTCAAAAAACCCGATCATAACCAGGATACTCAAAAAACCCGATCATAACCAGGATACTCAAAAAACCCGATCATAACCAGGATACTCAAAAAACCCGATCATAACCAGGATACTCAAAAAACATCATAATACTCAAAAAACCGATCACAACCAGGATACTCAAAAAACCCGATCATAACCAGGATACTCAAAAAACCTGATCATAACCAGGATACTCAAAAAACCTGATCATAACCAGGATACTCAAAAAACCCGATCATAAACCAGGATACTCAAAAAACCTGATCATAACCAGGATACTCAAAAAACCCGATCATAACCGGAATACTCAAAAAACCCGATCAAACCCGATCATAACCAGGATACTCAAAAAACCCGATCATAACCAGGATACTCAAAAAACCCGATCAAAAAACAACCAGGATACTCAAAAAACTCATAAACCAGGATACTCAAAAAACCCATATCTCGATCAAACCAGGATACTCAAAAAAACCCGATCATAACCAGGATACTCAAAAAACTCAAAAAAAAAAAAACCGGATACTCAAAAAACCCGATCATAACCAGGATACTCAAAAAACCCGATCATAAACCAGGATACTCAAAAAATCAAAAAACTCAAAAACCCGATCATAACCAGGAATACTCACTCAAAAAACAAAACCAGGATACTCAAAAAAACCCGATCATAAACCAGGATACTCAAAAAACTCAAAAAACCCGATCATAACCAATACTCAAAAAACCCGGATACTCAAAAACTCAAAAAAACCCGATCATAACCAGGAATACTCAAAAAACCGATCATAAACCAGGATACTCAAAAAACCCGATCATAACCAGGATACTCAAAAAACCCGATCAAAAACCAATAACCAGGATACACTCAAAAAAAAAAATGGATACTCAAAAAACCCGATCATAACCGGAATACTCGAGCGCATGTAAACACAATGGTAACATTTCGCTCGCTCCAGTTGCAATCGTCGCGACAGGAAGAACATCGGACATAAAAAACATTTCTTTCTTGTCCTAAACTCAAATCCCAGTTTCAGATCTCCTCGTTGGGTCGGCGCTTTCTCGGTGTTGAAGCGAAGCATTTACCTGACTATAACTGTAGCCTCAAACTCTGCAGACCAGGGGCCTCTGTGATGATGTCTTGACAAAGTGAGTGGTCGTGTCCAATAGACTTTGTCATGTTAGCTCCTCTGTGTTTCTATGGTGGTTTTTTCTATCCTCTATCAGTCTCTGTTTAAGGAGACCAAAGGCACGGGACACGCTGGACCGGTGCCTGGACCATTCTGATACCGATTTTTATTAGACGTTTTGAGTTTCGTTTGAGGTTTTGGGGACTGAGCCTTGATTTGCAAAAAGAAAATCCAACCCATATTGCACGATTTTCTGAACTACTGCATGTTCTAATGTTGTTTCCTCATCACAAACAGACTTGAATTTAAAGTTTTAACACGTAAACTCTGGATATTTAGGCTGAGTTCTTCTCTCAGAAAGA